ACATCATAATTATTAAAATTTTAATTTTTAATTTTTTTATTTTTAATAATTTAAAAAATTATAATAAATTTTAAATATTAAAAATAAAAAATTAAAAAATTAAAATTTTATATAAATATAATATATAAAATTTATCTATAAGTGGATTATGTTTTATTACACATAGTTATTTATCATTTATTTAAAGATAAAAATAATTAAAAAATTTATTTAATAATTTATATTATATCAAATTACAAAATATAAACACTCAAATGAGAGGCAAGTTTCTTGATATTAAAACCTTCCTCCTTATAAACGAGTTTTTATTTTATAATTTAATATATTTTTAATTCTAAAATATAGTTACTTGCAAAACATCAACACTCAGGACTAAATTAACATAGGGCATGGGTAATGAATTTCTATAAAAGGATTGATGAGTACTCTGTGCCTTTAAAATAATCGTTTTACTAGTCTTTTATGAGATATTAATTGTACTAGAATATTAATTAATTATTTACCAAGATATGGCAGATAAGTAGAATCGTTCAATATGTTATATATTTATAATTATAAATTAAAATTAATTAAAAAATAATAATTTAAAATAAAACTCACAATATATAAAAAATATTAAGATATCTAACTATACTATAACTAATCAATATAAATTTTAAAGTATCATATTTTTAAAATATTTATCATTTATATGACAATAAAATTTTCTATCTTTATTTGTTTTTTAAATCATACTAAATTTACTTTTAACTACTAGCTCAGTACATCTATACGGACGATCCCTTGCACCGTTGGATGACTTGGTTCCGTCCCAGTTAGTTTTAATGGATAAATAGCATGTGAGGCAATGTTTTTGAACCCGGCCCGGTGGCTGGCCCGTTTTGACCACCGGGTCCGGGTCAACCGGTTGAACCGGTTCACCCGACCGATTCAACCAGTCAATTAAAAAAATTTTATTTTTGACATTTTTATTGAATCTTACTGTGTAGGTTAGTTTCTCCTTCATGAATCAAAATCCCAAAATCCCAAAACCCAATCACCCAAACCCTAATCTCCAAATCCCCGGCCCCAATGAACCAAACTCCCTCTCCTCCTCCTTCCCTCGCCTTCGACAGCAACGCCGGAATGGACGGCGCCTGGTATGGCAACATCCAGTACCTTCTCAACATCTCCACAATCGGTCTCTTTTGTTGCGTCTTCATCTTCGTCTTCCTCAAGCTCCGTAGCGACCACCGTGGCCCTGCTGCTCTCTTTTCCAAGCTGCTTGCAGCCTGGCACGAGACTAGCCGCGAGATCGCACTGGCCGCGAGATCGCCGTCCACTGTGGGGCTGATGCTGCGCAGTTTCTCTTGATTGAAGGCGGTAGCTTTGTTATGCTTCTGTCCGTTGCTTTTCTATCGAAAGAGAAAAAGTGCAGTGATAGAGGAGAAGATCGGCGGACGATCGGTGGAAGAGAAATCGACGGACGATCGGCGAAGAGAAGATCGATGGAAGACCAAAGACCCTTCTGCAATTCTGTTGGTTCCTCCTATCTGGGTTTTGCAATTTGTTTCCACATGATCTTAGATTCTTAGCGTTTTTAGTTTTTAGGTTTTAGTTTTTACTTAGTTAATTAGTTTAATTGATTTTTAATTTAAGTTTTAAACTTTAATTTAAGTCAAAAAAGGCAAAAACTTAAAAAGGTGGTGAAAATTTCAGCCCGGGCGAGCGTAGCGGGTCGCACGAGTTCAGCGGGCACGACGGGCTTGACGGGTTTCAACGGGCCATTCACCTAAACGGGCTGAAGCCTTCAACCGGCCCGTTTTCAGGCCCGGGTCCGGTGCAACCGGTTCAACCGGCCGGGCCGGGCCGGGTCCGAAAACATTGATGTGAGGTGAGACGCCGTCCTTTAAGTAACAAACCAAGGCTCAAAACGACGCCACTTTAAAAAACTGTACATAATAACCATATCAGGCAAGTTTCTCGTCTCTCTCGTCTCTCTCGTCCCTCACAGTTCGCCCAAAACCCAAATACAATCTGCGTGAGGCACTTTTTCCCGCGCATCATTCTTGGGATTCGATGCCTCCGAAAGCCGACGGAGCTGAAGGTAACAAATCAATGGCGACAACCAATCTTTTCCGTCTATTCTCTTCAATTCGGAGATTTCCACTCCAAAATTAAGCTCAACTCGGTCCATATTCGAGTTCGTTTCTTACTCGACAACTCTACTTCTCTGCAACTCAGAGCTCAACCAACCAGTAGCCGTCACCGGAGAAAAGATAGAGGTAGCAGAGAAGGGGAATGTTGTAATCGAGAAAAATGCAGACTGAGAATATAGAGATGAAGATGATGATGATGTGAATAAGGAGACAGGCCCTGAGCCTACTCGTTACGGGCATTGAGACCGCAACGTTTGTTGTTATGATTTATGAAAGATTTCATCAACTTATCCTCACATCATTCTGATCAGAAGTCAATTCAGACTTCCAAATCCAAGCTTCAAGCAGCATCTTCTGTTCTTCATCAACAATAATGGGTACTCTCTGTGAATTTTTTATTATTTTTTAATGTAAAGTTATGATTATCTCCTTCATTTCATTAATAGTATAAATTAATGATTCATTTATCATTAGATTTTGAGCAATTTTTCTTAATCTTGTTTCT